TGCACAGATGAATTCCCCTGCTGTGATATTGACTTTCTTTCTCTAAGTTTCTCTTCCCATCAGTCAGGGGGCTGGGGCCCATGTGCAGACACAGAAATCTGAGCCTAAAGACATTCTCATCTCTCCTCCCATAGGCCTGCCATAAATCTCAGCTTTTTGGGAATGGAGCCAATGCAGATCAGAGGCATTTTCCCCTAGAAGCATCTGATGTCTGGCTATGTCAGTAAGTGGAGCAGCAAGACTATACAGGCTTCGCTGGCTGTGGATGGCAGCAGCTCATCCAAATTCACAGGACAATAATTAACAGCCTTGGAGACTCTGCAGAAGGCATTTCGATGAGCACTTGGATTTGGCCCACCTGCAGAATCAGTGGCTCTTATCTCCTTCCTCCTCCCAAACCCATCCTAAACTACCCAGGCCAGCTGCGTCTTCTTCCTTGTCCTGCCAAAGCAAGATGCCTTCTCTAGGATGAAGGGTGAGATTCTGCTTCGCACTCTGTCAATGCCTGTGTCACCTAGAAAATTTACTGGTCTTTCCCATGCCTAGGTCATCACTTGGCTCCTTGTGCTTCAATAGAGATGAGAACTACAGCTTATTTATTCAGCTGTCATATGGGTGTAGCTCACTATGTCCTAATGTTTAAGGGAGGAGGCTATGGAATCAAGCAGAGTTGAGTTTCTGTCTCCTCTCTACCACGTCCTGACTGCCCCACTTTAGGCTAATCATTTTACCTCTGAGTTTCTCTCTTACCATCTGAAAAGTAAGGATAGCATGTTGCAGAAATGTTAGGGTAAAAAGAAATGAAATCCAGTACTTGCCATATGGAATATGGTAACCATTATCTTTACCAGTGGTTTGTCATGTTGAGACATGGATAGAAATAATCATATTCTAACATCCTAAGTGCCTGGGGAGAAACAACAGGGAAGTATGAGGTCCCAGTAAATGGTGCAAACCATGACCACAGTCAGAAAACTTCCTGTGCTGGGATCTTATGTCTAAGCTGATATAAAGGGTAAGAAGTGGTTTTCCAGGTGAAGCCACAGAGACTTCCTCTGGCAGCATGGGTACTCATGATTTTGAACTTATCACTTCCCCCAGCCTTGCTAGTTTTCTTCCCATTCCTGCCAAATGCTCAGACCTTCCACTTCAAGGCTGTAGTGTGTCTCCTTGTTTTTCCACTTTCCCTCCACCCATCACCAGAAAAGTACTTGCTCATCCTGCCTTCCACTTGGCACTGCACTCTAGAGACTGGTTTCTGTCCTCAGCTCCTGCCCCTAATTTCCTCATCCAGGGACTTGCTTTCAACTCTTCAATTCATAGATCCCTGATGGCAAGCTTGCCTGGTAATGAGCTCATCTCCCTTCTTCAGATATAAGTCTCTCTGTTATTTCTGGCTGTTCTGACTAGCTATGTGCCCTATTATGATCCTAACCAGCTCTCTCCAGAATCCAGTTGCCCATAGAAATTTACTCTGGTGTTAACTCATTCTGTATGAAGGGTCTTTCTGGATCATAGGATAGTAAAAGGCACTTGGAAAAAAAAATCTTCATTTGTATATTTATTTAATCAGCAAATATATTTCACAAGACACTGTAATAGAAACTGAGATATAATTACAAAGAATGCTCACTTGCTCCCAGGCCTCAGAAAATTGATGGTACAAAGAGAAAAACAATCAGATAGAGAAACTCATAATGTGGAATGAAAAGAAGTTCAAGAGACTGTCGGGGGACAGAGGAGAAGGTACTTCGTCAGTCAGTGTGCTTAGCTGAAAATACTTTCAGGAGGTTTAAGCAGAAAATGGATTAAGGAAAATAATGCATTAAAGGTGAATCTCAGAGAGCAAGCCTTGTACGGCAAACAACACTCAAATCAGAGTGTGGGAATAAGCCAGAAACCTCACCCTGCTGCCCCTGACCAAAGACATACCACCTGCCCTGGGTGCTAGACAACATAACTTCTACCTCTTCAAACTTGAATGCTAGGTATTTCTGCTTCCAGCCTGTCCAGGAAAGAGATGGATATCCATGTCCTTTGACTTTTAAATAACAACTAGCTCAAGAGTGCATACTGGTCAGACTGAAACTATAACCGATGTAATTGAGAAGGAGGCAGAACTTTGTCCGACCAGAGAAAGAGAAATTGTGTGTGTTCAAAAGGGGCTAAATGGGCCGGGGATTTAGCTCAGTGGTTTTGTGGCCTGCTGAGCAAGCACAAGGACCTGAGCTCGATCCCTGGTACCAAAAAAATAGGGGCTGAACATCCACAAAAGCAAAACAACTCCCCATTATGCATCCTCACTGGAGAATTTGGGGGTGTTGAGACCAGAAGGGAACATGAGAAGTTTCTCTGCGAAACCACAGCCCCAGCTGAGCTCTGAAACGAGAACAGTTAGCCAGGTAAAGATAGGCCTGGGGAAGTGTTCAAGGTAGACGGAAGCGCAGGTGCACAGCCATGGAGATGGGAGTAAGTATTGCCTCTGGGAAACAGCAACAGAGCAGTAAAGCTGCAACACAGGCATGGAAGGAGGAACAGCCAGAGTTAAAGCTTGGAGTGGTGAATGGAGTGTGAGGCCCCAAAGCCTTAACTCCCCTGGATTGAAAAGCGAGAACACAAAACAAAATGGCCAGTGTTCTCTAGAGACACCAAAAGAGAAGACAGTGATACAATCCTAGGCAGTTTGTAAGTGTCTCTGATGTTTCATTTCTTCTTTTATTGAGGATACATCATTGCAGCTCATTTAAAAACTTCCTGTAAGTAGAAATACCTTGCCATTATGGAGAATTTCTCCCATAAAATCATACAGGCATGAGCTGTTTATGGAAGCATGAAACATTCTTTGCAGAGGACAACATTTCGTATTCATGGTAGAAGCATCTTCAGGCTCCGTTCAGAAATTAGCACAAGGTCTGTGTTCTTTGCTGCTGCCTCTGCTCCACAAGGTGCACCTCACTCCTGCTCTTACCTCATGTTCTCCTCACCTGTGCAACCTGCACCTCATGCCCACATCCTCACTGTACCCATCCTCGCTCACCTCTTCCTAATCGGACCTCCTCTGTCCTTGAGTACTCCACACATCACATTTTCTCAGGTGTGCATATGAGATATGATCACAAAATACATCGACTATTTCAATTAAATTATTTCCATTTTAAAAATTTATTATAGGAAGAGACATATTGCCATTGATTCCCGCTTCAAAATATTCCCTCTTGCTTTGAGTACACTTACCCTGTTATTCTTGGCACTTTCGGAAGCAGTTCTGGGGGTTCTCTTTTATGAATGTCTTTCTGTGGCTACCTCAAACCCTGGAATGGATTAAAAATGTTTACAAAAATTTCTGTCAAATAAAAGCATTATTGTGTGTCCTCATCCACCTTACTCCCTGGACCTGGCAGCATGCAACTTCTGATTCCTCTCCAAAATCATGATGATCATGAAAGGTAAAAGTTTTAAATGGATTCAGGACATTGGAGCAGCCACAACAGTGCAACCAAAGACACTCATGAAAGAAGACTTCCAGAACTGCTTCAGAAAGTGACAAGTATGATGAGATAAGTGTATTTAAAGCAAGCAGAAGTATTTTGAGGGGGATTAATGGTGATGTGTCTTTTACTGCAATACTTTTTAAAAATCTAAACATTTTATTTTTGTTTGATTGTTTGTTTTGAGACAGGGTCTCACTATGCAGTTCAGGCTGGCCTAGAACTCACTACATAGCCCAGGCTGGCCTCAAACTCACTGTGATCCTCCTGTCTCAGCCTCCAAACTGCTGGGATTATGGACATGTGCCAGCACGCCTGGCTCCATTCACTGTATATTTTGATCACACTTCCTATTTTGTCCATTACAACATCCTCCTGCAATGAAAAGCAAAAGTAGCTCTTGCCACTTTCATTTGTAAGGGTTTCCTTTCTGTGAGATCTCTTTAAGACTAGAAAGCTCAAAGGTAGTCTGTGTATTTAGCGTTACTGTTTTAGAAAAAATGAAACTTCCTAACCGGGGATACTGTGCACACAGAGGCCTCAGTCTCAATGCCAAATTAATATGACTCAAGGAGTGTCTTCTCCCTGAGATAGGATTACACCAATAAGCAACACAGGAATGTGCCCATATCTCCTGGAACCTGCTATTCCAGCTATCCATCAAAGCAAGTCATGGGGTTCAGAGGGGAAAGATCACTGTCCCTACCCTATATGAACATCTTTTTTCTTCAGTTTGTTAATAGAGAGGAGTAGATGTAATTTCTTTGGTTTTGTCTTTATTTGCTGTCAAGGACAGAGCATGCCCTCTTTAAATTACAATAGGACCATGTACAAGCCATTTTTTTCTGAGTCATTCTTTAGCTTTGCAAGCACGGGATGACAAGAAGTGTTTTATTACTTCTGCAAAATACCACCTCTTAAAAGTCAAGTCCAGAATGTTTCCAGAATTTCTAGGTAAATATCCAAATGTCTAGGAAGATGGCTTGAAGCTTATTTTGAAGCCAGCACTCTTCAGGGTACAATGCAGATTGGCCACTGGAATCCAAAGCTACTTTCTTGTTCTTTTTCTAATCCCTTCTTCTCTCTGCAACTGCTGTTTCTTCCTCTTCAGGCATGGGTATCCACTTCCTTCTGCTTATGCCCGAGCTGTGGTGGCTGAGACAGCCTCCATCTCTCTGTTGCTTTTTCAGTAATGCTCACCCTCACCAGTAACTGACTCTGTCTTTTAGTTACCCAAATCAAAACTCCTGAAAGTAGAATCTGATGGGTCTGCACCATCATGTCTACCCCTGGCTGCCTGTCCCAGGTTGCTGTAGTCAGACCAGAAAGCTCACTGGAACACAGCACAGGTGTGCTTATTCATTAGAGATACTATATACATGCAGCCTCTCTATGGTGAAATAGGAGCAGAACAGGATTTTAAAGCTATATTAGTCATCTCTGGTTACATAACAAATGGCCTCAGAGCTTAGTGAATCAAAACAACAATAAATATTTCTTATCTCAGGGGTCTTAGGAATTAGGAATTTGGTAGCAAGTGAGATGAATGATGGTAATTCCAAATCTTCTGTGCAACTGGAGTTAAGACGTCATCTGGGGTGGTCATTTGAACCCTGAATAAGGCTGGAGAATCCACATCCAAGGTGCTCCTCAAATACCCACAAATTGATTCTAGCTGTTGCCTGGAGGCTTCAGCTTCTCCCCATTCCAGCCAATTTATGGACAGCTTGAGTATCTTTGTGATATGGTTACTGTCTTCTTCCTGGACACGCAACCCAAGAGAGACTAGAGTGGCCACCAAATGTCTTTAAGATTCAGACTCAGAAGTCATGACATTTCTATAATATAATATACTGTATAATATAATATACTAGTGATTACACAACTCACCTCTATTTGTGTAGGAGGGGACTTGCATGAACACAAGAAGGTGAGGATAACTAGAGGCTACAATGAAAGCTGGCTACCATGAAGCTGGCTACAGCTTCTTAGGGGCAAAGATGCAAGGTATTCATTGTGCGGCTCGTGACAATGTTTTTCCGCAAGTGACCATGAAGTTGTCTTTTAGACTCAGCCTGGATGTTTTCTATTTATACATAGACTCAAAACCAATTTCTGGGGCCTACAAGTAGGATATGCTGGTTAAGTGCATAGTCATGATTTGTAAGACATTTATCCAAGAGATCTGTTCTACTTTTTCTAGAAATGTGTTGTAGGAAACCCTGTAGAGAGCCTCCCCAAGATCAGTGTGAAACACAAGGAATGAGTGCCCACCTGTACAGTATTGATTGATGACAATGATTGACAGATTGTAAAGTGGTGGAAGTACTCTCAAAGAAAAGAAGGAAGGAGCAAAGGACTCACAGATTCTATTTGGGAAATAGGAGAACTCATAGCTTTAACATCTATACCACTGGCTACTTTTGTGAAATCCAAAATTCCAGGGAAAACAAGAAGCTAAAGTAAAACAATAATTGCAGTAATAATAAAAGAAATGTCTATGTATTCAGGGCCAAAGAATGATTTTTAAGGAAAAAAATTAAATTTGAAGCCTAGGCTGACAAAATAATGTGTATGTATGTCAGAGCCCTTAAAACATAGAGAAATATTTTTTGGGAAGCCAGAAGTCAGGAGACCTGACTTCTAATCCTCCAATCAAATGTCTGGCCTCCTCCAAGTAATGGTAGATCAAGACTAAAAGCTTAATTTTGAATTTTGATTTACTGGTACAAAAAGACATTGACTAAAACTTTGCCATTTTCTAGTAGCACAAAATTGGGAACAAAAAGTCAGCCTGTTTCCTCGTGTGTTAAAAAAATAACAGCACCGTACTCACCTCCCTCACTTCTAGACACTGTTAAAAGTATCAAATTCTCAAAAGCACTTTGAGATCTGTAAACAGCCTAGCGAAGCTCCCCGTTGGCTCATGTTTGGAGACCCTTGCAATTCTTGTACTTGGAAAAACAGCTGTTTGTATATGTAAGTGGGAGAGGCAAAAGGAGTCCCAAGCACCACAAACACAAATCAATAGGACTCTCCACCACCAGCCCCACCATGGTAATGAGTACTATCATCATCATGATTATGCTTTTCACTTGGGGCTCTCTGGATATATTAGGAACAAATATTGAACCAGTCTGTTCTTGAATCCTAGGGATAAGCAATAAAGCTCAGAATCTGTGGGCATGTACTTCTCTCCTGTGGACCAGGGAACTAGAGCATGCTGCTCAGTGGATGAAGAAAACAGGTACCAACGAGATAAGAAAAAAAAATAAGGATGTAGGGTGAAAGGGTCTTGATGCTGCTCCAGTCTCTACCTTCAGTTATTTTTTAATATTCCTAGCCTTAGAATCCTCAAGAACCTTCTGTTCTCCCCAAATTTGCCATTTGTTTCCCCTTTTGTATAAGAGAAGTATGGATCTAATTTCTATTATTTAAGATCGAAATAACACTAAAATGTCATTCTTATAATAGAAATTAATTTTTTAAAAATGTATGATTCCAATAGAATTGATTTTGACTTTCTCACAACAGGAAACTACTTATTGTAATATTGGAAAACACAGAAACATAATGATTAGGAGCATCGAGTGAAGGCCCACAATACCTGGGCTCAAGCCCCTTCACCTCTGTATGATTATTTTCTTTATCTAGCAAATGATGATAACAATACCTACCAGAGAGCATTGTCATGAGAATTAAATGAGTCACTACTTTATCAAGGTCACTTATCATTGTTTCGCCTTACAGGAAAAAAATCACCGATTTCCTAGACCTGAATGTATTGTGGACTTTGAAAAAGGTAATTTATCATCATATACATTCAAGCAGAAGAAGCTTTGGCTGGGGGACACTTCTGGAGTTCTGAAAAGGGTTATTGTTTCCTATAATAATGGGATGACTTCAGAGTAATCCAAATCTCTGTTAAAATTGGTTACCACTCCTATGTAGAAGGCAGCTGAAAACCCAAGCTTCCAATGGGGAGCCCCAAGTGAAAATTTATGGCTATGCTCAAAAATCCTGGAAAAAGGGATTGATAATTGAGATTCTGGCTGAAGCAGAGTGAACAAAGATGCTCTAATTAAATTCTGCATAGGAGCTAATTAACCCATTTATGTGTTTTCTTCCTTTGTGCAGTAGGGGAAGCACATTATCAGCATTCGTATATTTGCAACTTATCAGTATGTTGTGTGTGATTTTTCCCCCAGGAGTGATGTAGGGGGAGGGAGATTTCCTGCATGGAATCTCCCAGCCATAATTTATCTGTCCGACACTTCTGCTCTGTTTTGATATCGGCTCTGGGAGGCTTTGCATGCCTTGCTCTTCAGGCAGATGACAGAAGTCATCGTATTTGGCCATTTGCACTCATCAGATCTTTCCACTGACACAGAGCCCTTCCTGCAGGCAGTGCAGGAGCTGGGCCGTGGAGTCACCCCAGGTTGGCAGCCTCCTGACTGCTGGGTATTCCGGGGCTCTCCACCTTCCACAGCTACATGATTGACAGTCAGGGTGAGTATTTCAGAAGGAAGAGGCCTCCCACCCACTCCAGCCATGTGGCAAAGGTATTTGCTTCCTAGGGAAGGAAGTGATTTATCTGTGGGAGAACAGTGTTTCAGCAAAGTTTGCGTAGGAACAGCCTCTCTCTCCGCAAGCATGTGTGCATGCCAGTGTGTGCTGTGTGCTGGGAGCAAGGAAGATAAAGACAACGTGAATGTCATAAAAAAAGCACTCTTTATACAAAGGCTGGGAAACCTACAATGCTGAAAGACTTCAGACCCCATAAATAAATTTATGTGTGATTCAAGGCAGCTCTGCTTCTTTTTAATTTTGAATTAGTGAGCCCGCATTATCAGCAGCCTTATTGTGTAAATCAGCAGGGAGAAGATGCTCAGAAAGAAATAGATGGGAGAAAAAAAGAAAAAGGAAAAACAAAAGGTTGGTAGAAAGGCGCAAAGAGAAAGCAAGGGCTCAAGAAAGGTTTTGTATGGTAGTGAAATTAACTATAGTTTCTTTTATAATCTGTGTATTGCCACTAGCCAGGTTTTACCAATAATAGCTTTATGATTATTTGGCCTATGGTATCAATTCAAGGATAAAACAGTTTCCCTGGATAATTTTGATCCTTAGTGACTTACTTCAGTTGATTTCAAGGTAAGCTGAGTAAGTAAATAGTTTTTTTTTTAATTTCAATGAATAGAAGTTCATGTTATTAACAATTACTCATTTATTCGTGAAATCCAGCATAAGATGATACTATAACACAAGAATAGCAAGTTTATAGTTGAAGAAATTAATTAGGTGAATCAGGAAGATAAAATTTCTGAATAAATAGCATCCAATTATCCAGTGGTCATATGTTAAGATTTCACTAAACATTCCACAGCTAGTTTAATTAGTGGCAGTTATTTTCCTGAACATATTAGAACATATTGCCTTACAATGTACAGAGTTCACCTATACCAGGCTGAGAGAAATGGATTAACTGGCAACTAAAAGGCCTAGATTCAGTCCCTTGAACTCATAACTTTAGCTTTGTGACCTTGGATAAGTCACTTAACCTCTCTGTGCCCCTATACTCTCATCTGTAATTTGAGCATAACAATGTCAACCTCACCTAACCTATTATCGTTATGGAGAGGAGATGAGGTTTTAGTGGTGGAAGTTCTTTGGGAAGTAAAGCCCAGGAACAAAATAAAAGTTTTGATGGATCTGCACAAATATACCCTCTTCATGATCATGAATACATGATGCACGTTGTGTTGAATATGCAGGAGGTGTTTTGTGCTCTGAATGTGTTCGCCTGCAGATGCCAGCCCATCACAGTGTACAATAGGTGTCCTCTGTGGGATGTACCCTAGGTGACATTCTGCACATTGGCCTGCACCTGTGCTCTGACGAAGGTGGTGGCATGGGAAGAAACACTTGACAGATCCACCTGTGCTCAGGGCGAGAGAACAGACAGCTGCACCAAGGCACATATGTCCATTCTGGCCAGGCTGGAGTGCCACTTCTTCATGCACTGGCCAGGGCTCCTCCCACCAAAAAGAATTAATTTCTTCCACATCTGTGTACCTGTTTCACCTTATTACTGTAGCCCTCAACTTAAAAACCCATGCCAGCCCCCGTAGCATTCAGTTGGCACTAAATAAATAGGGTTTTCTGCCCTCTTGGAGTCAGCAGCCATACTTCTGAAATTCTAACCCTGACAGTCTTCAAACTTCAAGTCAAATCAGTACATTGTTAGCAAGCACCCACGGCTTGCTAGAACTCTGCTCACTTACTGGGGGCAGGAAGAGGTAGCAATTCCCATCCTCAGCCTTCATGGAGATTGGAGTCTAATGGAGCAATGGATGTCCAGTCGAGGAGGTGTCTAATAGGAGATCTTCTAATAGGAGATCGGGCTGAAAGACAGTAATAAGGGGAAAATAGGGATGGGAAGACAGAACATTCCAAGGAGGCCAGAGAAAACCAACTACACTTAACAAAGGGAAAAACACTGGGTCAGGACAAAGATAACCAGGAACCAATGGCCAGCTTCTTTGCTTATTTCTCCATGTCCAGCTTCACCTCATATTTGATGCCTTCACACCTGTAGTTAGGCTCTGCTGTCTTAGCTGGGACTTCAGCTCTAACGCCCTCCCCAGTGTCCTGTTCCTCACCTCCATAGTTTGCCTCAACATTGAGATCTCTTCTTCCTCTTAATCCCCAAAGGACAGACTTCCCCTAGCCATGGAAACTAATCTGTTGCAATGCTTATTTTATGTGTCATTTAGGAAACCATAGTTATCTGATTTTAGAACCCATTTTATTCTCTAGCAGACTGCCACCGTGCAGGTGGTCTTTATATGTACTCCCAAATGCAAATTTTTATCATGTCACTTTCTGATTTCAAGTCCTCCGGTGACTGCATTCATCTTGGGTCAAACTTTCTTCCTAAACACAGCACACAAGCTCTCTTTGGCTCCAGCCCCCATTCAACTGCCAGCCTTCTGCCCTTTGTCTTTCTCATTCTCCCTCACAGTGACTGGGACCGTTCAGGTCCTCAAGGCTCTCCTGCCATCTCCTGCCCATAAGTGTTCATCTGGCCTATTCCCTTTGCTTGCCCCGCCCACCCCTGCCCAAACCTTCATACTTGCTCATCTCTAAGCCTCAGCTTGCATGCCACTTCCACAGGGAGTCTTTTTCTGACACTCACGTGCTTGCTTTTGCTACAACAGGACACTTATTTTGCTTCATTGACACTGCTCGTTGAAATGCTTATCTCTCCCACTGAGGGTATCTCAGCATCGGCTCTATTGGCATTTTAGACCTGACAATTCATGTTGTGTGGGCTGTGTGCCTGGTAGAATGCTTAGCAGCATCTCTGGCCTCGACCCCCTAGATGCCAGAATCACTTCCCCCAGTTATGACAGCCAAGACTGTCCCAGACTTTGTCTTCTGAGAGACAAAATCACTTTTCCGGAGGACCACTGTGCCCTATTATTCCGAAGGTAGGGATCATCTTCGCTCCTGCATCCCCAACCACGCATGCAGTTGCTGACTACTAAACGTGTTCAGGAATGGATAGAGTTTCCAATAAACTCCTATTGAACAAAGAGATATTAGGCAGCAAGCTGTGTCAGAGCTTTGGTAGCTCAGAGCTCTGCATTTGTCTTTCATGATGGGTGGAAACTGTCACTTTCCCCACCCCGCCCTTACCTCTTACCCCTGTCCTGGTACAGCACAGACACACCAGCCAGTCCTGCACACTCTCCTCTCTGGGCTGCCCTGTCCACCCATCTTCTCCCTTTACAACAGCAAAAAAAGGTGCTGGCTCCCTGAGCTTCCTGCTTCAAAGGCGTTTAAGCTTTTAATGTGAATCCTGATTAATTAACAAGGGTGCAGGACTTACATGAATTTCAAGTTGCTTTTATCTCTAGGAGAAAAGAAGCCTTTTGGCAGATACTTTCTGTTCACTGTCTGGTTCAGCATTTCAAAGGGCAAGTTTTGATGGGCTGAGTGGGTTACCACTTTTGAATATGTGAAGGGCAATGACTAGTAATTAAGGGACAGACCCCTTTATGTCAATTCAAGGGGAAAAAAGTCAAATTCAATCTCAGCACAACTGACCTGTGTTGAAGCTCAAAGTCTTTACCTGGAGCTGAAGGCCAAGTGGGTCTATGTTGTAACAATGGCCACTTCTCTTGTTTTCCAATAAAAAGACTGACATTTGTTGAGCATCTACTATGTGGTGTTTCAGCTCTGTCACATAATCAATATAATTTTATTTTATAGAAATTAAGTTTGGGCGATGTTAAGTAATTTGCTCAAAATATAAGTGATCCAACCATGTTCAGAATATGGTAGGTCTAACTCTACCTTTTATTCCAAACCGGCATTCCCTAGGCACCCTCGTGTCTGACTTTGCTCATCCTTGCCTGGTAGAACAGAACAAAAGGCTCTTGTGTTTCTCTGCATTTAATTCATTCATTCCATCAGGCATTTGGTCAATGTCTCCTCTCTTCAGGGCTCCTACTGAATCCTCTATTCACCCTAAGATAGACCTCATCACAAAATTTGGGTGAGTATTTTAGTCACCTTCCCAAACAAAGCATAAACTTAGCAAACATGAACCTTGGCTTTCTGGTTGTTCCACATCTGTAGTGTTTCACATAGGAACCGACACAGAGGTAGATTTCAAGAAAGGCTTGTTGAATTGACTATGTACTGAAGATCTAGTACAGTGAGATTATATGTTGATTTCCTCCATAGTAAGTCATAAGTATCCCCTCTTCTTTAGTACTATAATTTTTGTTCTTCTCAATGTTTTATTAGTTAAATAATTAAAATCCCAGTTTCCCTTCTTTCCTTTCCCCTACCCCTCCTACTTCCCCTTCGCCTTTGCCCCTTTTTAATAGTATCATTTTCTTTTTACTGAGAAGGCCATACTAAATAAATGACTAACAAGACAAGCCCAGCTTTTTTGCCATTAAGAATGACTATGTAACTAAGTGTACTCCATGTTATAAGCAAAAGTGATGTGTTATATTTTCATAAATCCTTGTCTTACTCGGTTCTGCCACTTATATTGTGCATGTGATAGCGGGAACTCAAACAGTTATTTTGATTCATAAAGACTGGAGCCACATGCTTAAGAAGCAGAAATATAGAAGTAATCTGGGCCCAAAAGACTATGGAATTGCTAGAACAGTTCTTCACTACCTCTAGACTTGTGTCTAGACTACCTCCTGACTTATTTCACGTGTGAGATAAATAGGTTTGTCTTATATAATTCACTGACTTTATTCGCATATGGAGGTACATTATCTGTCATCCCAGCTACTCAGAAGCCTGAGTCAGGAGAATTGCAATTTGAGACCAGGCTGGCCAACTTAGTAAGATCTTGACTCACAATAAAATGAAAAGCGGTAGGGATGTACCTTAGTGGTAGAGTGATTGCGAGGTTCTGGGTTCAATCTGTCATCCTTCAAAAAAGAAAAAAAATCACTGTTTTTTGAGTCTTTATTATTTACAGTCAAATACAATTCCAGCTGACACAACTGCTAAGTGTAGAGCACTTTTCTAAGGACTTTGTAATTTGTGTCCCCATGCTCGACTGTATGGCTTTCACAGCCTGTAAATGTAAGAGAGCTTCCCTGTTGCCCTGAGCTCTGTTGATACATTCCACTCTAGTCTTATTACTTTTCATCAGACCCCCCAAACACCAATCACCATAAGAGAAAAAAAAATAAAGAGATCAGTGGGCTGCCAATCAAGAGGTACCACTCGCAGGACATTTTCTTCTAGGAGATATCTTTGATTTGGGCCTTGAATCTTGAGAGAATAGGGATCTCTAAAAGAAAGAAGAGGTTAGATTGAGGTTAAACGCCCCATGACCCGAAAATATGGGACATGTTTGGAATTTCTATACATGAACTACGTGAAGAAATCATGTTACACAATACGTGCAAGCATGGTCCCAGAATTAGACTGCTTGGATTGGAATTCCAGTGTACTGCTGAAGCTCTATGACAGTGATGGTGAACCTTTTAGAGCTTGCAGTGATACAAACAGCCCCCTGCAGCACGCTAGCCACAGGTTCACCACCACTGCTGAATCACCTTGGCTGAGTCACCTCACTTCCATGAGCCCTATTTTTCTCTCTGTAAAGTGAGGATAATAGTTCTTATCTTCTTGAGTTACTATATATGTGGGATTCAGAATAGTGTCTGACCCAAATAATTACACCCTATATCTTAACTTGTTGACTACTTTCCCAGACCAGAAGACATAGGGGAGACTATGGCCAGCAGAGCCAAAAGTTCCAAATTCAGAATCTTATGCCATTATTATATAGGCACCAAAAAGCCACTGACAGTTTGTTAGCAAAGTTGTGGGTGACATCATCAGAGGTGTGTTTCAGGAAGTCCTAGGATGTCACCATTTGCCATGTCGTTATGCTTTTTCAACTTCCCCACAGCATCACCACACTGACCTAGGTTCCTCTTCTCCCTGGGGCTCACTGGCACTCAGCAATTTCTCCAGGCTCCCTGTCTCTGTAGCTCTCTGTCTGGTGGCTGATGTCGGAGAAGTTGGCCGCTTTTCAGAGACGGGGAAAGGCAGCCCTCTGGCTCACAGCCCCTGGCCCTAGTTGCTCCCATGGGATTTGCTCAAGGCTGTGATTTCTCCCCACCCCTCCACTCACTCCTCCTCAGGAGCAGCGTTATCAGTGTTGACATTCTGACTCTCAGCCATGAAATATAAGCCAGTGATTGCATCATAGCCGGGTGATTTGTGCCTTCTTCGCTTCCTTGGTGACAATGGAATCATGGTGTCCTCCCAAGCCCTGCAGAGACAGTGAAAGATATTGTATGCTATGGGCAAAATGCACGTGTGGAAGCTCTAAACCCAGTGTCATGATATTTGAAGATAGGACGTTTAGGAGGTAATTAATGATGAATGAAGTCATAGAAAGGAGCCCTAATTTGCTACGATTGATGGCCTCACAAGGAGGCCACATTCCCTTTCTCTCACCTTCCCTTTCTTCCTCGCTCCCTGTCACCCTCCCCAGCACATGCCCTAATGAAAGGCCATGAGAGGACACAAAGACAAAGTAGCTGTCTGCAGTCCAAAAAGAATGCTTTCACTGAACACTAACCCAGTTGGGACCCTGATCATAAGCCTTTAGAGTCCAAAATGGCAAAATAATGAATTTTTGTTATTTAAATCAACCACTTTGTACTATTTTGTTATGGTAGCTCAAGAAGACTAATACACTGTATACATATTTGCAGTGCGTTGTAATCTCAGTGGCTGCACAATGGTAACTTCTGGGCTTAGGAGCCAGTTGAAGACCATTTCTGACCATAAATTGCCTTCCTCTATTAATAACATAGGAATAACCTCCTAATCATCTATACCACTTGATAAAAGATGCATTGGATTCCCTTGTATGCATTCCTGACTACCAAGCTCCAAGTCAAAGTGATATTTCACCTGTGACCTTTTAGCAGCCACGCAAAATTGCCCTCCTATACACACATACTTCTTTTCAACTTATATCTTATTGCTGTCTTAAACATCTTCCACTTAAAGTGTCTAAACATGAACACCCAGTGAGACACAAATCGCTGCTACAAAACAATATTAGAATACAGATGATTTTAAGCCAGTGGACTGCTCTGGTCCAGCTAAAAATAGAATTAAAGCTGGGAGGGGGGCCCACATCCGGCAATATCACCCTATATGTTCATTGCTCTTTCACTCAATTTTTATTCCTTAGAAAGATAACATGGGAATGAATATTCATGGTGAAAGATGTGAGAGGTTCTGGCTTTGGAAACATAATTATTGTTGTTATTTCGAATTTCATTAGCGCTTTATAATTGTAAAGCCCATTTTGGAGAGCAATTTTGTTCCTTTCCTCTTTTACTTTTCTCGTCCACATTTCCACCCCTCCCCAAACTCCCTGTGCCTTTTCAAGAACAAAATCAGACCCTGTCATTTTTATGGAAATGAAAAATCAGGAGCAAAGAGGGAAACTGACTTTGACATAGAAATAACCAGTGGTGGCAATGGAAATAATCACTCCAGGAAGACCTGCTCAGGGCTGTTGGGCCATCAGTGAACTCAGGTAGAGCTGCATGCTTCTGGTGCCAAATTCTGGTTACTTCCCTGCTTCTTCTGCCTTCAGCAAGGAGCCAAAGTGGGGCCAGGGATTTATCTCAGTGGTGCTGCACCTGTCTCGCAAGTGCAAGGTTCTGAGTTCGATCCCTGGTACCAAAAAAAAAAAAAAAAGAAGCCAAAGTGGAATCATTCATAAATGCCATCCCTGAGCTTGCTTCCTCCATCCTCGAATTGATGATCTTAATATAATGTTGCAACTTTTCACTGGATTTTTCTGATTGGTTAAACAAGTAAGAAAAAGAAGTATCCTTTATTCAAAAGCTGCTATATGCCAAGCACTGGGCACATATATGGTTAATCTTTATACCAGTTATATATTGCTACCTCACAAATTACCCCAGAATGCAGTGACTTGAAACAACTATTTATAATTACAGCTTACATGTCACAGAGTTGAGTGGGGCTTGACTGATGTGGGCAGGACTCATCAACAGTTCTGCAAGTCAGCTGGGATTCAGCTGTAGGTGGGGCTGGGCTGCATGGCAGCACCTTAGCTGGGAAAAGCTCCACAGGTTCCCTACTCCTGGGACCAGCAGACGAGCTCAGACGTGAGCTCATCTTGGTGACTGCAGAATCCTAACATGGTAAACAGAAACACTAAAGGCTCCAAAGTGGCTCACAAAATGAAATGGCTAAGCGCATGGGGAAAGTGTCTTTGCCCCTTTAGTAAGAGAAACTGTAGTCAAACGACAGAGATTGCTGACACAGGGAGATGTGAGGGACTGGGCCACAACATAATTTACTGCACTCCATTTTCTAGTGGTCTCAGGTTGTGCCTTGCCCGGGCTGCTGTGTAGTAAGGTTAGAACCAATACTTTGAACTCTAAAATCTTTTCCTTCCTTTTTAACCATCTCCTATACTTTGGCCTTCAAGGCCACACTTAAACTCACATGCTTACATTTCAATCAATAATTTCTTTTATTCCAGAAAACTATCTTCATAGTGAGGCAATTTATGATTCTTATTATGGCATCTAATAGTTAATATTATGAATTTTCAAGAATGATTATGATTAAGGGGATGCTAGCTTTTATTACTGTAAGTTTAATCTTAACTGTGAAAAAGAATGTGGAGTAATGGTTATAACCAGGAGCTCTGGAATAAGACTGCATGGGATTAAATCCTAGCCTGTTGCTACATCTGTGACTTCAGACAAGGAATTTTATGTCTCTGAAATTTAACTTCCTCTTACACAGTATGGCAATATGCATAGTTCCTTTCTTAGCTCTTAGAGTTGCCCAAAGGGCTAGCTATGCACAAGGGGACACTCACAGCATTTACCACACTGCTTGATATATCATAAGTGCTCAATAAATGATGCTATTATTATTTTCATCATCCCTGCCATATGCTAAATAGTGTACTAAGTGCCACACATGAGTTATCATCTTAACTTGCATGGTGATTAGAAAATACTACCCTGTTGTTTGTCTTCTTGACCTAAAAGTTTATTTCCTTATGGCTGCTATCTTTATCAGGTTCTGTTTGGGTTTAAGGCATTGCTTATTATATTAAAGAGGGCAAAATGCTCCAACTTATTTTTCAGGATGAAAGGTGTTAATTTTGGCATATGTCCTCTGAGCTATGCAAAAGTTGACTTTTCTCTCTAATAGGCCATTTACCCCAGCCATCTGCTCTTTTAAAACATGGATACAAACAAACAAGCAAAAATCTTAAATGACATGAAAGTGTGTGCTGGATGACTTTTTTTACTGCCCAGTGGCTGGGATCCGGGGCAAGGGGGGCTGGATTAAATCTTAGTTGCACTGATGCCTTCCTTAATTCAGGGATTTCAGCCCTGAGCTCCTAACTCCTGGAACTCTTGCTGCTGAGAAATGGAATGTATCAGCCAGCCACAACCTAACTTGGCCACACCTTTGTAATGAGTAGAAGGGATAGGCAGGGACATGTGACAGAAATGCTTAATAGTCAGGAAAAGCTTTCAGAAAAGGAACACACAGTGATTTTTATCAAAGTACCTGACAGACACTGAGGTCAAACTGTTGGATCTGGATGTCATGGATCCAGGTTTTTGATCCACAGATGATAACAACATTTAGACTCAGCATGCTGATAGCTCTTTATAATAGTGGAAAGGGATGGAGGTGTCACACAGCAATCAGAAAATGACCAACCAATACCAATCCCCATAGACTTTGATTTTACCCCTTGGGCAGCTTCTCTACCAACTCATTTTCTCCAAATGGATGCAAATGCCTCTCATCCGCGTAGGATTTGCTTTTAATCTGTGATAATGGGAATCAGCAGCGAGAGAGGGATCTTTCTGCTCTTTTCTATCCATTATCACTTCTCTGATTACTTTGGTGCCCTCGCATGTGATTCAAGGATAATCAAGAGTTTGCACATCGACTGCATTATGAATCCCTGGTCCTCAAGTTTTCCCAAACCACTGAGTAGCATGTAGAAGCTCAGTCTAGTTTATTTACCACTGAATACCCTTCCACTAGCACAATATCTGACATGAAATAGCATTCAATAAACTCTCACTGAGCTAATGACTACATTAGTCTCCCTGGATCTTGAATATCTCTCTAGGGCTCTTTAATCATTCATTTATTCATTCATTCATTTGCTCAAGAAATATGCATCAGGAATGTGCTTGGAAATTTTGTATGAGTAAAATAAGATGAACCAGACTATCTATGGATTCAAGAAACTTAAAGTATAGAGTAGGAGTGAGGACATTGTAACAGTCAGCCACTACCACAAAAATGCTGTGTAATAAAACCATCCTGAAACCCAGCAGCTTAAAGAAGCGGTCATTTAGTCTCACTGAAATATCTGAAGGTTGCTTGGAGCAATCTGCTGGTTCAGACTGACTCATCTAAACTTGTATCTAAATTGCAGGTGAGATCTACATCTGCTCTGAAGTGTACTCCCCTGTGTGGAGCAGCAGGCTAAGCAGAACAAGTTCCTCTAGCAACAGCGGAAGCACAAACAGGTGCCCCACTCATAAGCCTTGGCTGTCACCATGGCTGCCAGCAACCCAGTGGTCAATGCAAGTCACATAGCCATGCTCACCACCAGTGGGTTCCAGGCAGTGAGAGGAGGAATAGTGAATATTGGTTGGACAGAAATCTAAACTATATTAGCCTTGATGACAAGGAGCATAAGTGATAGAGAATATGTAATGTATTAAATAATTACACAATAATTCATGCAAAGACAAATTACATATGAAGTAGAAGAATCAGAAATGGCCCCGAAGGACCAGTGGCATTATGTGCATGCAGCTCTCTCATCACAGAAAAATAAACTAGACAGAGGTAAGAGGGAACTTGGCAAGTGAACAAGTAACAGTAAGGATATTTATTTTGATGGGAACACAGCTTATAGGCACAGAAACAGTGAAAGAGTTTATCAGAAAGGTTTTTTGGAAACTTGGACATCATGCTAATGGGTCACGTAAGCCCTGGAGCAATGAAATTAATTAAAGAATAGCAGGTGAAAATTAAAGCTAACCAGAAAGGCACAAAGTCCACTGGCAGGGTGAGTGTTTGACAATATATTAGTTCCTAAGAATCTCCATAGAAGTCAGGGAGAAGGAACTACTAGTATATCGTGGTGATAAATGCCAGACATTACATTTTTTCAAGTATTATTTGGCATCTCCAACCTCAGGCTTCACACCACCAGGGCAGTATATCTCCTTCCTGGGCAGCTTCCCTCTGCTCTCCCATCCTGTCACCTTGAGCAGGAACCCCTCCTCTCCTGCCTTGAGGGGGAGGGTATCTCTCTAGCCACTGGATGGCTGCTCAGGGAAGCTACTGGGCCTCAAGGAGACACAGTGCAGAGCAGAAGGCAGTCTCCTCTCCATCTGTGCTGTCTTCCTCATCCCTGACCCATTTTTTGGTCTAAAATGCCACTGACTTTCACAGGAACCTGAGAAGGTATAGTTTGACCTAGGCAATTTTTTATAAATTTACAGATTAATAAATGCATGCATTTATTCAACAAATATTTATTGGACACCTGCTGTGTGTCAGGGACCATCCTAAGAGCTTTGTATGCAACAGCGAACAAGAACATGAAAACTCCTTTCGCTTAAAGTGCACATGTGCGTGTCCTAAGTCCGTTCACTGGTGTGTCAGCCGTGACTGGTGAAGTGTTGATATGGACATGACGGTGGAGGGGAACCATGAGAGTGTCCTCTTTAGACTGCTTCTGCAATGATCAGCAAAGTAGAACAAGCAAGCAGCCCCTCTGTGCCAGCCCTGAGCCCAGGACTCAACCTCCCCTCACCTTATTCCCTTGCAGGCACGAAAGGGAGATGACTGTATACTCTCTCCATAGGGCTCATATGAAGGTTAAATGTGGTGCAACTTGCACATGTTTTAAAAAGCACCTGGCCCCTGACCTCCAATCTAAACAGTGGAAGCTGGTGAGCATGAGAGGGGTGTGTGACCCTGCCCAGGCCACCACAGAAGTTTCCCTAAGGGATCAAGTAAAATCAAAGCCAAGAGAAGGGAAGTTAACACTTGCCAAGTGCACTGTCCTTGGTACGAGGCAATTTTATTTCTTACAGAATTTACTTTTGGAATGAACAACTTTGTGAGCGAGGAATAATTATCTCCACTTTATAAAGAACAAGGCTACTTACTGATGAAATACTTCATCCATGATATTGTGTCAGAACCAATACTGTAAGTCACCCCACTTTGAATCAAACTAGCTGCAACTTGTATCTCTCTGCTGTTGCTTTTGACCAAGAAATTCAAGATATTGATAGTAACATTTGTGGATTATAAATATAGGTTGTGTTTCATGCTTTTACTCTATAAGCTCATGCAATCCTTATCCAGTTCCACGAAGGAGATAGTCTTATTGTTCTCCCATGGAGAAACCAAAGTCCGGAGGGGCAAGTCATTTTTCCAAGGTCACACCGCAAGAGTGTTGGAGTAAAAATTTCAACTTGAACAATCAAAAAATATTAGACCTTATGAGCTTATCCTTCCACTGTCCTCCCTGTCACTCTAAGGTGAAAAGAGACCTGTGTAATTGATGTTAATTATGGTTTTGTTTTGTTTTACTTTAACTCCCAGAAAGAGAATAATGGAGGCCCTTGACAGGGGCAATCATTCTTTGAAAAGGAACCAAAGATACATGGCTTCAGACACTTGGAGAATTTTCACAAAGCTTCCTCCATGTGGCTTCCCCAGAATACAAAATTTGAATCGATAAGTAGTAGTTTCAAGAAGGAAGATATAAATCAATGCAATCTATTGGTCAGAGCCAAGGAAGTAGAAGCAGTTTTTGGAGGGGATACTGTGCTGCCTAATCTCTCTGTGAGCAAGCCCAGCACCCCAAGGTGGGCCTGCTGCAGCCCTTTCCACTTGGGTGACTGAGGCAGACTCCATGTCCGGCTTTTCTCTCCTCTCTTGAACCACTGCAATCCATTCTCTACCTGAAGCTACAGCAGCATTTCACAAGCTCTGCCATCCCTTTACTGGAAATTGCCCTTGGCTCTCCATTTAAATGACAAGGAAACCACTACTCCTCCCCAGGGCCTACACAGGCCCGAATCATTGAAGCCATACTCATTTCCAAGACTCATTTCCTTCTTTCCTATTCTTTCTCCTCAACTCTCCAGTCAGACTGACTTCCTGTGTTTGGCTCCAGGAACTTGCCCTGTTCTCCCTTGGAGATTTTTGTGTTTGTGGCATTACCTGCCTGGAATTCCCAGCCAACCCCTTTTGCCATAACAACTGCTCATCCTTCCTGTTTCTAACAAATTGGCCCTCTTTTTCAGAGATGCCCTGGAACACAGATTAATACCTCCCTCTTGTTATTCTGTTCAGTATTACCATGTTCTTATTCAGCACAGCACACTTAAAAAACTTTCAGTCATATGTTCCTTTTTGATTTATCTGTGTTTAGCTCTTATTAGACTCTAAGCTTCATAAATGCAGGGACCATTTTAAATCCTGCCTGAAAAATAGTATCTCTCATGATCCTAAATAGTATTCCACAGTATGCGGTGGAAAAGAAAAGAGAGGGAGAAAGGGAAAAAAGGAGAAAGAGAGGGAGAAAGAAGAGAAGGATGGAGGAAAGCTTTTGGGGAGCTTAATTTTTTTCTTTTTCTTTTGCTATGCAGACCAGAACTTTAGCTTTTGAAAGAGTGCCCTGGATCTGGGAAGAGGGACTTCCCATAATTTCCCTTGGATCCCACTGAATGCATCTTAGAATGATGTAGAGACTGAAATTTCAGGAGACTCAGGGAAGCTGCAGAGTCCCAGCCATGCTGAGTCTGCGGATTATCACACAGCAGTCGTCAAATACAGCATGGTAAGTAGGTCAGAAGTGGTGAGTGGCCTCAGCCTCCCTGCGGAACAACTGGGCATGGCCCAGGGAGTCAGGTTTACATAAAGAGCCTCGAGACAGTGGGAGGAAAAGTGAAAGGAATTTTTGGAGTCCAAGCAAGGAGAACTAGGTTGTAGCACAAAGTGCGGAGGTTTTAAGATGAGGCTGTCTTGGAGTTTCACCTCAGATCATCAAACAAATTAGAGCACCTTTACAGGAAGCAGCATTTGATTCTCTGGATGGAAGAAGTGATACTTAGAGAGACAGTTAACTTGTCTAAGGCATCAAAACTCAGGAGTGGTAGAGCTCAGACTTGAACTTTGTTTTGTCTGGGTTTGAATATTGTTAAATAATATTTTGTAAAATTTTAAATAACACATACACAAAACACATATCCATAAAATTTAAGGATGTGAACTGTTAGAAGATACCTACTTGTTCCCAATTATGTTAAAGGTCACACATTTATTAAATGGCAAAGGTGAAGTTCAAAACCAGTGTTTGCCTATGCGAGAAGTTGTGTTTTTAACCTGTAGGCATGCATTTATTTATCTATTCGACAGACATCATTGATGGCCTATGACATATCAAGCATCAGGGAACAAGAATGATAGGATTCTTGTGCTCGTGGAAACTATAATTTATCAGGGAAGACAAATATTAAATAACACTCATGTAAAGTACTTGTCAGCACCACCGCTATGAAAGTATGAAACGCTTAACTCTTAAACTATGTTGCCTCTACCCCTAAACAATTTGGAATGACTTTATTCAATGTAAATTGTCTGGCATATTTCAAGCGTTACATTTTCTATGTGTTCACAAAACTTCACAGCTAAAGCAGCATTAAAAATTCCAAATCCACAGATTTGTGAGAATTAAATAAGGAAAGAAAATGTGGTCCATGCTAACACTTAGTAGGTATCCTGTAAATGTTGTGGAAACAATGGCTCTGTGCTGAGATTGCTTTCACCAGTTCAAAATATAGTAATAAAAATAATGTGCTGCTGGAGGAAAACCGTCCGGTGCTCCATATCAGAGAATAAAGCTCGCACTTTTCATCAGTAATGTACATTTGAATGCACCAGGTTAGCAGTTCAGCCTGAATAAATACAAAGTAGATACTGCAGGCGTTATTTTTTTCCTCCCTTACTAAAACAGGGTCCCAGATAAAAAAAGATTTCAGAAAGAAGAAGTCAATGGGACTCAAAAAGAGGATCCAAAAAATGTTGCAGTATTAAGCTTTGTAAGAAGTGTAAAAGAACAGGTCTCATTGACATGTGTTAATGATGAAAGATGACCACTGTAAGAAAGAGGAAAAGAAACATGGATAGGTAAAATGATTAAGTAGGCAAAGAGGTATAGAGATTTGAGCATAAGGAAATGAATGATGGGACTGCATTAAAGATGAGAGGACATGGAAAAGAAAATGCAAAGGATGGATGAAGAAAGAGAGGTGCAAGGAGCATTGTGAAGATTTTGACTGTAAGAAGGAAATGAAAGGCTGCAGTAAATCACAGAAAAAAGTGGGGGGTTGATTTAGAAGACTAGAAATAGGGAAACTGGGAGGTAGTGAGAGGTATGTGCTGGAGGGAAAAAAAGATAATAAATTTGAGAATTGTTGAGGGAAAGAGTCGGAGAAGTACCGGGTTGAAGCAGAAATCAGTCAAACAGATGCAAGTTAAAATGAAGAACGACAATGGTGATTAAAATATTCTTTCATTTTTCAGGAAAGAGAAGTTAGAGACAATGGAGAGTGTGCTCTAAACGTAACCTGGTGGAAATGTTCTGAACATGGAAAAGAGAAATGGAAAGACAAATGTAATGACACAGAGGTCACAAAAGGACCAAATAAATAGAATATTATGGAGGTGGATACAAGTTACTATTATTACTATTCATGACTGATTGTCTGCCAGATCGCACTGGCTACTTCCATTTATACATACCAGCTCAGTCAAGCTTCCCATTACCTTCACCTACAGGCAAGGAAACTAAGGCCAATAGAGGTATGAATCTGAACAGAAAAAATCAGCTGGCCAATAAGTGGGAGAGAAAAGAATTCTTGTCACCAGAAGTTTCTGAGCCAAAGATATAGATGGCAGTGATGGTTGTATTTAATGTGATCTATTTTGGATACACCAACAATAAAAAGGAAAAGCTTCAAGAACGACGATAATCTTGTCATTGATCCTAAACCAGCTGACAGAGGTGGGTCTCAGTGCCAGCCAAGACGATGAGGGGCTGGCAGAGCGAATACCAAAGAGTGTATGTGTGTGTGTGTGTCGGGGGGGGGGTAGATGAAGGCAGGAAGAGGAAGAAGATGCCTGAATGATGAATGAAGTCAATGTGCTCAGAAGAGTAAAGCAGGATTAAAAGGACAGCATGACTTACAGAGGTGATCATTGAAACCGGAGAAAACAAATGGTGGAGATTCATGGGTATGAAGAGGACTGATGGGAGATGAGGCTCAGATAGAGTAGAGAAGGAACCTGTGGTAGCACTCTCTCATCGGAAATGGAGTTCATTTGTGTTCTAGTGATCATTTGGAGGCTTAGCAGAGAATAGTTATTTTTTAAAAAAATTACTTGAATCATGGAAAGCTGGGAATGGACAAGGGAAACAAAGTAGAGTTGGGCCTGGAGGTGCATGCTTGTAATCCCAGCACTGTGCAGGGTTGAGGCAGGAGGACTTCAAGTTCGAGTGCAGTCTTGGGCAATTTAATGGCTTAGTGAGACCTTGTTTCAAAATGAAACATGGAAAACGGCTGAGGATGTGGTTCAGTGCAAAAGTCCTGGGTTCAATCCCCAGTATTGCTCTCCCGATAAAACAAAAAAAGTAAGGGAGTGGAGGAACAGAGGGTGAGTAGGAGGGATGATTACCTTGCGGAGCTGAAAAGGAAAGTCTTGTTTTATTCTCTGCAGAAGCATAGCTGCTGTCTAGTACAGTGCCCATCTCCAACGCAATACATATATGATGATTCACGGGCAAAATATTCATTTTGTTTCTCTACCTTGTGTCAGTTACTTTTGCACACACAGCAGAAACCAAGACTCTTGGTCTTTGACATCTTAGAGCTCCCAGCCAAGTGAAGAAAATACAGTAATATATGAATGAGTAATAAAATATGGATTAGCTGCAATTTAAAAGCCTATAAGGAGATATGGCAGGATGTATGGGGAAGACATAGAGGGACTAATCTTGATTGGCCAGGTGGTCATCATTGGGCAAGTGCTTTATTATCTAGGCACAGAGAAAGGGAAAGATAGTCTGTGGAGATGGAGGGAGATCTCCGCAGGCAGAAAAACAAGGTGCTGGGGAAACAAGAGCTTGAAATATTCCAGGAGGAGAGAAAAGATCAGTATGGCCAGAAGGGAATGGTGGTGAGGATCATGGAACAAGAGGCTGGAGGAAAAAATACCAGGTGAGAAGCCATAAGATGATTAGATTTACTCATAATGTTAATGAGAACCTCATGGGTGCTAGGCAGTTTCATATGCATGGTCTCATTTAATTCCCATAATGACCCTGAGAAGTGCACTGCTTTCCCCATTTCATAAATGAGAAAACAAAAGGTGCTTTTAGGTGACCTGACCCAGTAGGTAAATAGCAAACATGGTATGCAAACTGAGAGTTTCAGCTGGGGCCCCAGTTTTTCCAACCACACTTGGTGAGGTGGAATACATAGAGGGGATTTTGTAAATAAAATCATGGAGAAGGTATAAAAAGGAAAGAAAAACAAGTTCAAGATTGTTGGCCATTAGAAAAATGCAAATGAAAACAATGCTGAGATTCCATCTTATCCCAGGAAGAATAGCCATCATCAAGAAATCAAATAATGACACATGCTGATGAGGTTGCAGGGGTAAAAAGAACCATTCTACATTGTTGTTGGAAGTGTAAACTAGTACAACCACTATGGAAATCAGTATGGAGATTCTTCAAAAAAGTAAAACTAGAAATTCCATTTGCCTAGCTATTTCTCTTCTCAAAAGAGTGAGTCATCATATTAAAGTGATACATGCATACCCATATTTATATCAGCACAACTCATAATAGTTAAATCTTGGAAGCAGCCTATATGTCTATCAACAGATGACTGGATAAAGACAATGTGGCATTTACGCACACTGGAGTACTAGTCTGCCATAAAGAATAATAAATTTGAGTCATTTGTAGGAAAATGGGTGCATCTTGAGACCATAATGTTAAGTAAAATATGTCAGTCACACAAGCTTAAATATCACGTGGTTTCTCTTACATGACCAACCCTATTTATAAATAAAGAGCAAAACAAAAGATAGATAATAGGAAGGAGGGAAGTAGATCTTTCTTAAATAGGAGGGCCATCAAGAAATGGAAGGGGAAAGAATGGAAAGGGGATACAAAAGGAATTAAGATATGTTATGTATCTGTACCAACTCCACACAAGGAATGTAAACATTATATACTGCAAATGTTTACTAGTAAATAAATTTCTTTTTTTTTTTTTTTGGTACTGGGGATCGAACTCAGGTCCTTGTGGTTGCAAGGCAGGCAGTGGAACCACTGAGCTAAATCCCCAGCCCTAAATAAATTTTTTTTAAAGTTCAAAACAACCTAGAAAAGCAAATATGAAAGATGAGTCAGCAGGAAGCATTTTCTGGTAAGCCTGGGAGGAAGTTTGAACCGAAAGGAACTTCTGGTCAGAGGAGTCAGAGATGGAGGTACAGAGAGCAGTAGAGGTTAACAAATTAGATCAATGAGAAACTGTAACCTATTAGATCAGCAATGAAATGTACCTGAACGAAAAAAGGAGACAGAGAAGAGGTGGAGGGGGAGAAAGGTGCTGGCCTTTGGTCACTGGGACATGGACTGGGGTATGAGAAAGGCAGGTTTAGCAATCTGGGAGTGTGTGGAAGAGGAGGGTTGGTGAAGCCGGATGGAGCAGGCAGGTCATCAGAAACCAAACAAGAATGTGGCAGTCAGTCATTCCGGTATTCCACTGCTTACACAGTCACTGGACAACCCAAGTCAAATTTCTTTGCTTCCCTGAGTTTCAGATTTCACATCTATCATAGAGTAATGACAAGCTTATTCTACTTGGGGTTATATATGAATGCAACAGTTAGAATTTCTGGGCACCTACTATGCATTCAGTGCTTTGCTTAGTCATTTCTGAAGACTCACAACCAACCGCCATGAGGTGGGAACTGTTAGCATCATTCACTGACACACTGGAGAAAATTCCAAAGTCTCTGAGCCCGTGTTCAGAAGCATGAATTCATTTCCTGTGCTCCTTGCACATTTGACACTGCTCACTCCATAAAACTTGCCTCCCTTCCTTCCTTTTCAACCTAGTCTTTCTTCATTACCTCTCCCTCACATTACTTTCTCCATTTCTCATAATAAGCTTCTGCTCTCTATTTGTTTCCATATGTTCACAGACAAGTGTCTTCGTTGTAAGCAACAGAAACCAATTTTGAATAGTGTCAGCAGAAACTGGATTTAGTGAATGGAGATTAGATTACAGAAGGTGTGGGATCTAGGGATAGAGTTGGTGAAGTCAAGAGAGCCCTGCAGAAATCACAGCACAGGACTGGACTGGTGAAGAACTTGTTACAACACCAACCAGACATCCATAGGGCAATTCACACTCTGCATCAGTGACCCTAGGCTTCAAGCAGTTGGAAGTGTTTCCACTAGAATAAAGCCTGGATGTAACCACCCCAACTGTTGTCAGTTGGCCCCAATGGATTCTGCCTGATTCCATCCTTTTCTCAACTTCTTGAGTGAATCAATCCAGTTGGTGCAGTCTGCTTGTGCCCAGGCCCTAACTGCTGTGGAGGTGAAGAAAATATTTAGAAATTTTAGGTTTTTCCTAGGAGGTGGGCTGTGCCTCAGTGGCTGAAGTCCCTGTCTGATGTAGGAAAAGGATTTATTCAGATCATAAGGAATTGCAAACATGCCAAAGGCCAGCTTTAAATTGGAATGCTACCCCTCATGGTGCTGCTAGTCCTTTATGGCTCAAGCCCAATGCCACCACCTCTGGGATGCTTTCTTTGGTTTCTCCAAGCATAAGTTGCACCTTATATTATAGAACAATCAAGGCTGCCTGCCAGTCTGTTACCTGAGATATTTCTGTACTGTCTCATCCCCACATCCCTCCCCCACTTTTATAAGCTCTCCACAGGCAGTAACTCTGTTTCTCCATCTCTGTATCCCTATACGGTGCTTGGTGGGATATTTATTGGTGAATGAATGAATGAAAGTGTTGGTCTCCTTTGACAGGCTTTTATACCAGAGGTCCATGAAGGACTTGAACAGACTCTGCCTTACATAAGGGAGCCCTTTTTTCCTGGCGTGCACTTCTATAAATGGACTATGTCAGCATATTTGAAGAAAGGGGCATAGAAAATCAGAAAGCCCCATTGCAGAGAATAGTGGTGGATTGTAAGGGTACAAAGAAGAGACTGAGGGAAGCAGGGTGACATATTTTGGAGGAGTAAATGCACTGGCGCCAGCATCAGAGTCAGGAGATGGTTTAGAATGGGAGGACTTGAAAGGCCAGACTCAACGCCCACTGCTTGGGTTCACAGATTAGTAAACTGAGACAGGAGAAGCATATCTACAAATCCCCGAGTGAAAACTGAAGCACCTGTGCTCATGCAGATTTGCCTTTTAAAGCGTTTTCGATAGGTGGGCTCTTCCAAGGTCACCAAGGACAGTGTGATTTGATGAAAACCAACAAGGTTTTGAAGACTGGAGTTCAAATCTCAGCCCTTATCTAGTCCCCGAAATACTAAGTGATCATATGACCTTGGAAAATCCCTTCATTTGCCTGACCTCCTAGTCTCAGTTTATTTGGATGGAAAATGGGAATCATAACACTCATCTCACTGGATAGTGGTTATGTATAAAAGCTTAACACATGGACATGTCTAGCACTCAGAGAATACTTAATACACAGTATTATTAAGACCAAGGTCACAGGGGCCAGGGATTTAGCAAGTGCAAGGTTCCGAGTTTGATCCCTGGTACAATCATCATCATCATCATCATCATCATCATCATCATAAAAGTTGTCTTACTAGTAATTATAAAAAAAAAGACCAAGGTCACAAAAACATTTCCTTCCGTTATTTTCACTCCTTTGCCTTTATCCAGTCATAAAAAAGGGTAAAAACAACGTGATGGGAAAGGGGCAGAGCAATTCATGTGAAGGGTTATCGACAAAGGAAAAGAGGCAGAAGAGGGAAGAGTTAAGAAGAGAACAGTGAATGTACAGAGATGACACAAAGGGTGCAGATGGCCAAGCTAGACAGAGACGGGAAATGGCTCACAAATTATAGGGAGGAAACATTTATAAGATTAAAGTCGAGATGAGGAAGAAGGAAATGAATGGAAAGATGAAAGAATAGAAAATGCCAAGATGAAGGGGGAAAAAAGGGAATGGGGAATGGGATGCACAAGCTCTGGATGCTTGCAGAGCAGTGGCTTCCTGGAGGGTCCCCTGTATGTGGGTGGAGACAGAATCAGCCCCAAGCCAAAGGGGGCGCCCTTGGAGGACCTGGGGGTACAGCTTGCCTGGAGTCTGGAAGGACCTGGGTTGAAGAATTGGGCAGCGACCCCATCCTCTGGACACTGGGCAGAGGACCTAGTAGCTGGGGGAGCCAAGGGCCCACAGAGTAGTAGGTCTCTCTACCTCACACCCTTTTCAGGAATTTCACATAGAGAGAGGAAGCAGCCAAGTAGAGCCTGCAAGCTAGGAGCAGGAATCCAAAAGTGAGTGAGTGAGTGAGTGAGTGAGTGAGCTGCCTTGCTGGCCGGCAGCTAGGGCCCCGAGAAGCAGGCTGGAGCTGGGGTGGCCAGGGGCTTTTTCAGAGGGTGGAGGTCCAAGCCTCTCTGGCCACCAGCTCGTGGAGGGGTCAGGTAGGGCCCCTTCAGAGGGAGAAGGAATGGAATGGTGAGCTTCTAGCAGGTGGATAGGGAGGGGGCTCTGAAGCCGCAGGAAGTCAGTATTTCGGGGACTAGGTAAGGGCAGCGGGTCGAAGGCAAGACTCTTTCTTGGGATTGAGAGGAGGCAAAGTTAACTCTTGGCCATCCAGGGGGAAGCGCTCCCACTCCCTGAAAGGCGGGGCCTAAGCAAGGCTGGGCTGAGGCGCGCCCCTAGGTGCAAGCTTTGGCTTGAGCCCACGGTGGAGGGACGCCGGGGGAGCTGGGTTGAGCCAGGAGGGGTTAGAGGAGACTCCAGCGGGTTCCTGAGTCTTAGGAGTTTGGAAACGGGTGTCAGGGCTGAAGAGCGTTTAGGGCTGTCTTGGGGGATCCTGGGAAAGGGGAGGGAGAGACAGGGACTTGCACGAGGCCGGGCGGAGCCTTCGTAACGCTCGGAATCCGTTGGGGGAGCCAGGGAGGGGGGCGGGCGGCGGGCCCGGGGAGGCGGTGCGGGGGGGCGGTCCAGGGCCGACCGGGAGGCGGAGCCCGGAGCTGGGGGCTGCTGGCTAGCGGCTCTCTCGGCTCCTTCGCTCGGGCGTCCTGGCTTGCTTCGGCGTCCGCCGTCTCCGCCGCTGCCTCCCCTTCCTCCTCCTCTGTCGCCGCCGCCGCCGCCCGCAGCTCCGCAGCCCCTCCCGCCATGGCCGCCGCCGGCGCCCGGCGCAGCCCCGGCCCCGGCTCGGGGTTCCGGGGGCGGCCGAGGCTCGGCTTCCACCCGGGGCCGCCGCCGCCGTTGCTTCTGCTGTTTCTGCTCCTGCTGCTGCCGCCGCCGCTGCTGACCGGCGTCTCCGCCGCTGCCTCGCGGGAGCCGGACAGCCCGTGCCGGCTGAAGACGGTAACGGTGTCCACGCTGCCCGCCCTGCGGGACAGCGACATCGGCTGGATCGGCGCCCGCGCCGGGGCCGGGGCCGGGGCTGGGACCGGGGCCGCCGCCGCGTCCCCCGGCTCCGCGGGCTCCTCGGGCACCGCCGCCGAGTCGCGCCTCCTGCTCTTTGTGCGTAACGAGCTGCCCGGGCGCATCGCGGTGCAGGATGACCTGGACAACACCGAGCTGCCCTTCTTCACCCTGGGTAAGCCTGGGCGCCAGCGCACTCGGGAGCCGGAGGAGCCGGGAACCCCTGAGTGAGGCCGGACAGGTGGGGGCGCCCTGGGATCCCCCGCCCTGGGCTGCCCCGAGTGGGGATGGCAAAGGGCAGCTGAGCGGCCGGGAGGGCGCACAGGTGGTTTGAAGGGAGGGCGGGGTGGGAGGTCCGGGGCCGTGCCGTCGCTCCGCGGTGGGGACCCATCTCTCTGCCCCTCCGGCCACACACGGAGCTCTGCCCAGCCCTTCTGGACGCCGGAGACTCCAGTCACTGAAGGCGCTCAGACTAGGGCTAGGGCATCCCCCTCCCGGGACCCGTTGGGCTGTCCAGGGCGCATCCGGGCACGGTCACTGCCGCCCACAGCTACCGCCCCCTCGCTCTCGCCTCGGAGTTGCGGGCTCTGCTCTTCCAGTTAGATGCTCTCCAGAATCAGAGCGGAGTAGCTCCATGCACAATAACCCAGCTCGAGTTCCACAGGGGCTGGGTGACCTTGGCTAACTTGCTTCGCCTCTCTGAGCCTCAGCTTGGCTTTCCGTGAAATGGGGCTGGAGTCGACGGAGTCACGTCTGAGGACCGGGTGCTCAGCGCCCGGTCTCCACTTCCAGGTTCTCCCTCCACCTTCTCCACTGCCTTCTCCTTGCTGCCCTCCTCCCAGCGGGGAGCACTTTTGTCCTCCCAGCTCACTCACTGGCCCGCTAATAACAATAACTTACAAGGAAGAGGAGGAAGGAGGAGACGGGTGGGGCTCGGGGGCTCACAAGGAAAAGTTAATCAGAAAGTTCGCCAGCAGCCTGCTGCCTGCTGCCGCCTGGCTCCCGCCGCGAATCCCGGAGGAGTCGGCCGTTCCTTGGAGCTGTGGGAAGCGCGGCTGATTTCCCGCTTGGGTAATTGATAGCTTAATTATCTCGGAGAGCGTTTACAAAAATGTTGTTCCTCCTTAGCTCTCCGGCTCTCGCAGCTCGCTCTCTCCCCTCCCCTCTTGGGGGCGCGGGGGCCGGATTGGCTGTCAGTCTGGCCAGCGTTGGACTGCGCCCGCGGGCAGGGCGCCGGGCCCCGAGGGGAGACGCGGGAGCCCTTCTCTCCGGGGGCGGGTCTGCGCGGGGTCGGGTCGGGCTCCGGCGTCTTCGCGAGCGTGAACTCGGGCCTTCGTGGTCCGTGCCCTTAGGATCCCAGCCGGGTTAACTCCTCGCTCGCCCTACAAGCCTAACAGAGGAATTGGTGGACTAGACTGTGCTCTCCTGGGATCCCTGTATTTTGAAATGTATTTGTGACCGTTCCTCCTTTCTTCTCCTTCCGCTGACTCCGGGGATTTGAGCCAGGGCCAGGCCATCCCGGTTCTGAGCTTGCGCCTCCAGGTTTCCGTCCCTGGGCTCTCCAGATTGCTGTAACCTGAGAGTGCCGAGCGTTCTGGGAGGCTAGATGGAGAGCGCCTTGCAGGTCCCCAGGGGGACTCCTGTGGCTGCGCGTCTAGCGTGCGACGTACATACAACACACACACACACACACACACACCCTCTAGTGCGCACACACGCCACACGCCAGTAGCTCTTTCCAGGTGCACTGGTCGGGCTACATTGTCCGAGGGAGAGATGAGGGTGGAGGTGGAGTTCTTTAGGGTGCTGAGCGGACCTCAGGCTAGTTCCTACTGCTGGGGGCC